CGTTTTTTTGCCATTTCCTATCTCCCCCCCCCCCCCCCCAAAAAAAAAAAAAAAAAGAAAAAAAAAAGATAAAATAATGCATTCTATAACGCATGATTGTCTTTTATTCTTTTGTGAGAAAGGCGGGAGGCAGGATTAATAGTCCTGTCTCTGGGAATTGAAGTGGGAAGGGGGATAGATCCGTCTACATTACGTAAAATATCAAAGCACCCAAGTGTTCAGCAAATCTTATTGTGAATAAATTGCTGAAATGATGAAGATCTAGATTTGTTGTTTCTAAACCAGCGTCTAGATGGCTTCATAACTGTTTTTGCAATAATGGTATGTTTTTACAAGTGGTAGATGATACAAATTCTTTGGGGATATTTGCTCTGAGTACTCGATTCCAGTTGCCTGAAAAGACAAAACCGTCGTCTACAAAGATTTTCGATCTTTGGTCTATTGCTTAAAACTTGATGGTCAATAGATATTTTAGAAAGTTTGCATAGGTGGTTATACTGAGAAACCTTCCCCGAGGTTCACAGGTTAATGGCAACTGACCTGGCCATTTTCAACTTGATATTTTTGGAAACGAACGAGGCATTCTAAAAGTTGACGTAAATTTCCAGGAATCTGAAATGAAACGGCTTCCAAAACGACAGCCCAAAATGTTCCATTTACTAGATTATTCGTCTACATGATGATTTTTAGCTTAATAGTTTTTTGTATTTTTTTTTTCTTTTAACGAACACTTAATCATACGTCTGTCAAACTTGCATGATCTATTTGCACCGACACATAATGGAGGCCGTGTCGCTAATGAAGTGACGATTGCAAAGGGATGAGTTCACTGTAAAGTGCCCGGACCGGTTCTGAACTGGTTTGCTGCAATGCGTTCACACAATTGGTCCAGTATAGTAAAAAAAAATACGACACCATCTCTCGTGGCCAGATAATTTGTGTAACTTTGCGACATTTCACTGGACTAACTTTCAGTTACTTGAAACCTCGATGGTTATTTTTTCACGTAATAAAAGCTTCTGCTGCTAAACCATACATCATGTAGGCAATTAGGGGGAAATTTGCAATTTAATCGACAACGCGGATATCTTGATGACCTAATGCAATCAACGCGTTTGCGCCATAACCATCGTGACGTAAGAGCATGTATTTATTCTGGAATGGCTGAGAACCGGTTATTTGGAGTGAAATTTGGGTTGCAACTGAAACAAAAACGAGCCAGAGCCTAATGATACAGGTGCACTGTGAACACGAACGCAGATGCTGTGTCGCTAATGAAGTGAAGATTACACGCTTCGTCTGTCTGAAAGCTTCTTTGTAAATGTTACAACGAAGAGCAAATTAGACTTGCGCAGGAACAATACCCCAGTAACGAATTTCACGGTCTGAAGCGTCCTGAAGCACTGCTGGGTTCGCCAGAAAGTGCGCTTTCAACTGAAGCGTGTTTGGTACAACACTGTAAAATCCAGGGTTTTAGGGGCTAAAAGGATAAAAAAGTTGTTGAGCAGTGCTAGGCAAATATTAAACAGTCGACTAGTTTTCTAAACGGTACGCTGGGCACAGAGATGGGAGACTGCTTTTTTATGGAAAGAAGAAGGGGAAGAGGGGTAACTTGGGGGTACCGCTAACCTGTAATTTGTTACAAAATTGAATAAAATCTTATTTTTAATTTTTTAACAAATTTCAGAGACCCCTGTCGGAGTGTGGGGTAGGCCTACCTCCTCCGAAGTCAAAGGAGAAGCTTGTTTTATGTAGATACAAATAAATCAATGTTTTTTTTAATGTTAATTCTCTCACTCTCTCTCTCTCTCTCCTTTAATCATAATTATTTTATTTTGGAGATTCATTTTAGTAGCATCTGTTTTCGTCTGAAAAAAAAAAAGGATGGAAGGGGATATAAACGTGTTTTAGGCCAAGGATTTAGAGATGCCCGTGGACAAATTTGAAGGAAATGGTGATGTGTGTAGACAAAGAAAATATGACTCAGGGACGTTTTTGGACGCGGAAACGTGATTGCTATCAATGGTGTAGATGTAATATAGAAATAAGAGGGATGTATACACGTACAGCTCTGACTGAAACGAGCATGATTATATGTATATAACCTCTTTTGCTGCAAGAAGTGCTGCAATCAGGAATGATAAATAATGATGAAAGAAACTGAGAGAGAGAGAGAGAGAGAGAGAGAGAGAGAGAAGTCTGAAAGGATAGAGGTTATCACTGAACTATATTCGAATCCCTGTCCTAATGGGATCATTTAGAGCGAATCGATAAGATGGCCCCTAAGAAAAAAAAAGCTGAAGCAAAAATTACGCAGTTTGTCTTACATGCACAAGAGCACAAATGTTAGAAATGGTGGTACATGTAGTTCTATTATGCTTTGTGTGTTCTAGGAATGTTCTTTTGTGATTTGGTCCTTGAAATAAAAAAATGTATTTGTTCTGCCTATATGAAAATATTTCCATCGGCGCTGGCTTGAATAAAAAGATGCTGTGATGTGTCCTTGAGCAAAAATAAAAAGGAATTTTTGGAATAACGTTTACGTAAAAATCTGGTCTTGACTTTGCTCCGTCTGTCTTTGCGAATGTGCACCACGCTTGCTTGTTCTCAAAATTGCCATTCCAAATTTTATCAATGTTTTATGAATTTTGTACATAGCACGCTGCCATTGTGATGGAGTACATGTATTGAACATGTCACATACCATTGTTTTGCTAGTGCGGAAACTATTTAGCAGAATTTATGTCGATCGCTGCGAGCTATTAGGTTCCCAGTCTACAGAGATCGTCGTCTCTGTATTCATGGTATCATGATTTAAGTACAT